GTCTTTTTTTGTAGTTTTCACCACTGTGCTTCTCTCACTGTCTCTGATTGACATGTGGTAACTCAACAGTGTTTAAGTACTTGAGGTGCAGACAGAAGCACTTTGTTCCTTTGTATTGGTTGGCTGGCTTTGGCTGGTTTCATACCAATCCAAACATAACCTTCGCACATAGGGATCCACTCCATTGGTTCTGTATGAATTTGAGGTTTGGGTGCTGGGAGTTGGGACGAAGGAATGAGGGAGTGGAGGTGATTTTCAAAGAGATAGTAGCATATATAGCTTTGTCTGGCAAACCATCTCTATGCTTCCACATCACCTTACAGCTCTAATCTAAATACTACATAGAACATTTAGCAATGATCTAGATGGCTCAGATGGAAAATCTGCATTAAGTTGCGTATGTGATTTCTAATGTTCTTTAGTTAGTGTGTACCTCGAGGTGAGTTGAATATAAAATGAAAATAGAAGAACACTAGGTCAGTGCATCCCTCTAAAGCTAGAATTTGCAGCTTAAAAATAGCGATCGTGCCATTTTATTTGACTCGTCTATTGCATAATCAGATAGAAAACATACCTCACAAAGTGTGACACGTGGATTGATAGATAAAGAGATACAGCATGACATGCTTCACTGGTGCTTTTAGCGCCACTGTAAACTGTGACACAGAGCCATGCGGGCCTCTGCTGCCTGGGTGTTAAAGCGGAAACACACGGACTGGATTGTGGATGTTTAATAGAGCAGAACTCTTTCACTCCAGCTCTGAAATCACAGTTGTTTAGTACAGTTGTTTTTCTTCACCTGTATTTTCTCATTACTTTCTTCCTTACTACATATTTGCATATCCTTTTCTGTGTAGCAGTCCCTTATTTGTTATGCAAATATCTATTATTATTGAGCAGTGTCACAATGTTTCAAGTGTAAATGTGATTATTATGATTATTGTTTACTTTTGGGAAGTTACTATAAATACTTATTAAGCTACATTTTTAGTGTTCCCATCCCTAACCAAGCAGTACCTAAAGTGTTCTAGTGTTTCTCACGCCTGTATAAGGTTTCAGCAAGAATCTAAGAACACATTCAGTGGATTTTTCCTGCAGGTTAAAACTCACACTACCTTACACACCTCCAACTTTCTCACGTGAGAAAATTCTTTTCTGGTGTGACAGGTGATTTCCTCCTCCTTGTCTTCTCTTTCTCGTGTGAGCTTCTGCTTCTAGAGCCACTCAGCAGAAATCATAAATCATTCGTGGTTTTATTTGTTCCTGTTTGGAATTTTTTTTAAATTATTGTCTCCAAAAGGCCTCTGGTTATACTTACAAAGAACAGATTGTAGATGCCGTTTTTCTCCAGTACTACTTTGTCTTTTCGCTGTATGTCATCCTCTGTCTGCTGAGCAAAGATACATCTATTGTAGGCTAAGTGCTAACTTTTGCTGAAGTTATAGTAACTTAGTAAATATAGCAAATATAGCAGTCTCAGACCTATTTAAAGTTAAAGGTTAACACGCTACCATCATGTTAAGCAGCTTAAAATAACAAGATAGAAATATTGTTGTAACTATATAGCATAAAAATGTGTGATAAGTATTGGAAGTTCTGTGCTGAAATTACATATTGTAGTTCTCAACAGCCAAGCAAAGCCCCATGTGTTCTCTGTCTGCCGCGCTCTCCCTCCTCTATCCTCATCTGTCCTCCTATCTTGTTATTGCTGACAGAGAGTGTGTTTGCTAGCTGCTCTTGTTGTTATCTGTTTACAAGTCAGTGTTTGTTAAAAGCTTGATCATGTTACAGGACAGCCCATGCTAGTCTCAGTCATGTTCATGCACATGACAGACATACACATGCACACAAACACATTCAAAGACCAACAGTAGTCTAGTTTAGAGTGTCAGCTAATCCTCAAGCAGTTGCTGAGACATCAGTCTAAAGCTGAACTCCTGGATTTTAACCTTGTGCCACAACACAGGGCTTCGTGTTTCTCACTGCCAGACCTTATATTTCTTTAAGATTATTTGGTTGTGTACTTAAATAGTTTGTTGACAATAATTTTCTTTCCTTTCCTTTCTTGCTGTCAACCTTATTTTAAAAAAAAAAAACAGGCTCCACTCCTTTTGAAAAATATCTCCTGTTTAATGTTTGATTGGCTGGTCGATGAGAAATGTGAAAGTTTCATTTGGAGGTACTTTTATAGACTGAGAGCTACAATGACATCACACAAAGAATCACAATGAAAAATTACTATGAAATCACAGAAAGGCCTAATGAAACATTTTCCTTTCACTTCTGTACTTCACCTGTCAATCAGTTTTCTCACTCCCTTTTTTGTTTAAGATTTGCCTCATATTTACTGTATTGCTGTCAGCACAAGATCAAGTAGCAGTATGTGGTGAAAATGGAATATAATATATGGGAATTAACCTGAACACGCTCAAGTAAAGTCTGTTAAAATCTTCCATTAAAATATTTTGATAAACAGATTTGGATGGGAAAAAAGAAAGCACAGCTACATGCAGCTGTGTTAGCCTTAGAATAAATCCAGATTTTGTACTACTTTTTTAGTGTTCATCTGTCCCAAAGAGGTTTGAAAAATCCTAAGAATTCCTGTATTTGCTCTCACACACAGATAAAAGCAGTGATTTAAAGTTGTTTTCTTTGCTTAACCAGTTTTTGCCATGTGTCTTTCTGTCTCTGTGTGTGTCTGTACTTTACAAATTCCCTGGTTTTGTTAATATGTTTCTTTTTTCTCTTAGCATGACGTGTCAGCTGGAGCTTTGAAGACAGCATTGGATGGCGTGGTGCAGGAGTGTGTGAGCTTTGTTGGTGTGGACATTAACATCTGCTCTGAGATACTGATGAGGTAGAGTACCCAAAATGACATATCGCATAATTTCTAAAAATCAATTCAGTTTTATTTATATAGCGACAAACCACAACAGCACTTACCTCAAGGTGCTTTAAAATGTAAGGTAGAGACGCTCCAATAACACAGAGAGAACCCCAATAATCAAACAACAAGTATGCACTTGGCGACAGCCTGCTTTAGCCCGCCTTAACTATTCCAAAACCAGTTTCTCCTGTTGGAACACCCAACTGTGTCCAAGTTTTAACCATCTACCTGTTGATTTGGGGACAGCTGTTTATTTAAGCTGTTGATAAATTGAAGGAAGAATTTCAGAGTAGTCCTCCTTGATTATTCCATATTCTGTGCAATATACCATTACCACAGGCAGTAAAACAGCCTGAGCTCATGATGCTGTCACCACCATGCTTGACAGCTGGTACAAAGGTGTTAATTTTGGAGCAGGGCTTCTTTCTTGGTCAGGATCATCTTGTGAAGTTAGGACATTGTAGAAAAAAATGTAAGTGAATGCATGTACACATTTTAACCTGTATGTATGCTTTTGAGCCTGTGTTGATTAAAGAAAATCCAAATTAAATTCAAAACTCTGCACCCAATTCGTAGTGGAAACAAAAGTTGCAGTATGACATGATTTGATATGATTTGATTGACAAGTCACTAGCCAATAATCTTGCAGTGCCCCTCAGTTTCATTGTGTACAGTTTCTAAACACTAAAATGGGGATTATACTCAGTTTAGACTGAACTGTGGGACTCACATTGCTTGTGTCCGTCTTTTACACACAGTTTATGTTTGCAAGATTCTTTGCCTATGTTGTCACGGAAGAGGGTTCTTACTGAGTGTGGCTGTAGACTCAGACTAGGGATGCATTAAAACAGCTCGTTTGGGACCAGTGAGCTGTCTTGTTAATGTTAGATGATAATTAAGAATGAAAACATCAAACATACCTAAAAACATTTAATACATGTCCTCACAAGCAAGTGCATATTTGCACTCAACCACTGTGTGCTGCACAAATACATGCAGACAGAGACAAAATTCTGAAAACGAGATGAAGACGGGCTCAGACCTCTGGCATACTTTCCCTTAGCAGTCACAACATGGCAAGGCTTCATTCACACTCATGCACAGGCCATTGCATGATCTACACACACAAACACACAGATGGCCTGCCAGTTTTCTGTTTAACTAATGCTTCACACCTTGGCCCACGTACTGGGCTGACTGGAATTAACAAAGAGGATTAGGAACAGTGGACACAATTAAACTCACAGAAACATACATGCTGAAGAAGAAACATGCAAGAACACCGTGCACACATGTGCTTATTTGTTACAACTTGTGCAGTATAAACATGAGTCAAAAGTAGGAAGTGCAGAAATTTCATATGCACACTTTTTGCAGTGGAGACAAACAGTATGAATTGAGCTGGCATTAGCTGCAAGGCAGGCATCAGGTCATCTGTTTACCTGTCTGCTCTGCAAGTGAGCTTTTTCCATTCCTCCACAAAGTTAAGCTATGCACAAACGCACATGAAACACACACAGACGTGTTGATGACTGAGGTATTATGCGGAGTGTTGACATAGCCACATGCTTTAGCATGAGTGAGTCACTGTGGGCATTAACAGAGCAGACCTAATTGAGTTTCAAATCACCTCTCGTCTTTGCTCAGCCTGAACTGGACAAATATACATGCTTAATTTTGGCTTATGTGTGTCACTTGTGTTTCCAGTGCTTGCTTAAATGCCAGGTCACGGTCGCAGAATCTGCTGTTTGTTTGGTGTGGGTGTGTGTGTCTAAGCCTAATACTGTAGAGTTATTATAGGTGATCCCATAAGTACACAACCTAGATGGATATCAACCAAGCTTGAGATCCTACTTATCCTACCTGTTCTGTTTTGTTGTTTTAGCATCTAGTGTAGAATAATTTTAAGAAGTTGTTTGAATATATTGTGAGATGAGTAATTTTTCTCCCTTCAATCTGTTGTTTTATCTCCTAGGCATGTAGCAGGCTTAAATGTGGGAAGGGCACGGAGTATCACAGAATGGAGAGAGCAGCACGGTCCCTTCATCAACAGGGAGCAGCTGAAGCTGGTCAAAGGCATGGGGCCCAAGTCCTACCAGCAGTGTGCTGGCTTCATTAGAATAAACCCACAAACTCTATCCAGGTACGCACTCATATACACAGGATATCCACATAGATAGACCTAAAAGCAAGCAGACAAACACTCAAATTCTGCTTCACAATGTTGTCCTTTTTTCATGCAATGGTCTGTTGGAACAAACTGCAAAAACGCCCTGTTTATTCCTAGACATTTTGTGTTATTTAGCCATGCAAGAAGTTTAAATAAACTTGCACCCAAGTTCTGAGAATTTCTCAGTGGTACTCAGTTTGTAGTGTTCAAAGCAGTAAAAATTACAGTTGAATTACAATCCAAGAGTGTGTATCGTGTATATATATGTAAAACAGAGATGGGTTGAAGAAGTTATTTATGATTTATGAGGAGTGTGAGGTGATGCAGAAATTATTCTAAAGAAAAAATGTTTTAGTTACTCTAGATAATCGTGTCAAATGTGTTGGGAAATACTGACAGTGTACTTGGATTATTTCAAATATCCATCCATTCAGTATTTCCGACATTTTTCCCTCCGAGATGATGGGGGCAGCAGTCTAAGCAGTCTAGCAACTCAGACCTCCCACTTCCCAACCACCGGTGCGTTTTCAAGCCAACTTAGAGATATAATGTTTCCAGGTTGCCACAGGTCTGCGGCAGGATCTCCTCCCAGTGGGATGTGCCTGAAGCACTTGTACCGCTGTTATATTCGGATGGAAGCAAAATTCACAGGGCTCAGTAAAGCAAAATGCAGCATGTTTCCATGGCTTGATAGATTTTCTTTTCCCTTAATGTTTATATAAAACAATATATAGTCTTAGAGCAGGAATACTGGGGTGATTTAAAATGCATTTCTTTCTCGCCAAAACAGTGTCAGATCATCATCTAACCAGGCACCAGAAGTGCCCGAGAAACCTGCAGCTAAGAAAGGCAAGGGAAAAACTGGTGTCAGCGTCTCAACCTCATTTAACCCCCTCGATCAGACCTGTATACACCCGGAGTCCTACCATGTAGCACAAAGGTACAGTGCACACAAACACACACGGACACTTGAACAGCAGCCCACCCCACTGGCTAAAGCATGTTCAGGCTATGATGGAGTTGATTTTGACACCATCTCACATGGGGTTGGTTATAGTGGTGGAGGGCTCTGATTTGATTTACCCAGACATGGGATACAAGAGAGGAGGCGTTGGCTGTGGTGTGTGTGTCCTTGTGTGAGAGATGATTGTTAGCGCTGCTGATGCTGATATCAGAAGCACATTGAGCATCTGTGTGTGTGTAACAGATGGACACACAAAACGGAGGGAGAGAGAGGGGGCCCTCTCTCCTCCAGCTGTAGTCACTCAACTGTGTTTAGTCTATATAAGTTCTGACACTAGTGGTTTTAAGCATTGCTCTCCTCTTGTTGATGGTGTCTGTACATATATGTGGGGAGATTTATCTCTGTGCACACACGTGCAGATAGATTGATGTTGCTTGTATGAAACTTCCTACTTCAGTGTCTGTGTGTTCAATACAGACTGCACTAGAGAGTAGTTCATCAAGGAAGTATTGGGGATCAGAGGTCTTAAAAAACATCTTAAAATATAAGAGCACACATTACTCTTCTATTAATACCCTCTGCACTCCTTTCTGAGCTGCACGCGTTTAATTACATTTATTTGTTTTTCTCTTTTATTTTTATTTATTTATTTGGCAGACACGTTTCTCGTCCATACTTTCAGCTCTCTCACTGCCCCTCCCTTTCACTTTCTCAATGGTGCCTCACATTAAAACTTCTTTTAACCAGAATTACCAACCGTTTAAAGATATATTTAGCATTTTTCCCACAGATTTTAATTCCACAATTGAAATTTCTCACTGGACATCTAATCGTTCTCTGCTTTTCTATTTCTCTTGCTGTTCAGAATTCTTAAGCCTGTGTTGGCAAATGCATTATCCGGTGTTATGGCTGTATTATAATCCAAGTCTGGGAATGTACTCTATTCAGTATGGGTTCTGAAAGTATTCCAAAGTGTGTTGTGGTTTCCAGCACATCACCTGTCTCTGTAAAGATTTTCAGTACATGAAAAGCCATGTCAGTTCTTGCTCTTTTATTTTGACAAACCAGAAAATAAGTAACCTTCCACTAAACTTAAAATCACAGGGTATGACAGTGATCTGGAAATAGACCATACTACTTGATGAGTGTATCACTCATTGGGCTAGTTTGAATGTCTTTTTACATAAACCTTTAGATTATAGCTGTAAAAGTCTTGGTGAGTTATATTCATATTCAAAGAGTTACTTTGAAAATCACTAATTAGTATACTGACTCAAAATCAGAACTCTAATAATCGCTACTAATCACTAATAATCGAATCAACTTGAATTAATTAGATTATTAGCTGTGAGAGCATCACTGAGATCCCCCAAAGATTTTCTCTCCTCCTCACCTACAAATGGTGAAAACAAGGTTTAGAGGGAGAATTGTAAAGGAATGCTTGTGTGTGTTAGTGTATGTGTGTGTTTGTGTGTGTCTTTATGCTGTATAAGGAATATCATGTTCATCGCATTAGTGGAACTGGATCCTCCATTACTGCTCACAGCCTACACATCCACCCCTTTTTGTAACCATATACACACGCGCACAAAACCAGAAACACAAGAGCACACACATGATTTGTCCACCTTTAAAAAAAAATAAAAACCAGTAAAGCCTAATTCTGTGAGTGCATTATGTGAAATATTTAATTGTAATCTGGTTTGAGACAGCGAGCCTCCACTGTGTGATGAATATTGTTCTCATAAGTAACAGTCAGGGCCTAATATTTCTATAACTGAAGACAGAGTGGGTCCTTGATTGCATGCCTGGATAGAATCTGTATTAAAGCCCACCCAACGCTACATTCACACACGCATACCAAAATACATGCACAGTGTTGGTAGTAATTATATAAGTATGAACCAAACGGTGTTCGAGGCCTCTGGACTCCCGGTACCCCTTAAATACTAACATACACCACTGAAAAATGAAATGTGAAACACACACCTACAAGTAGGGCCCTCCACCCACTTAATCTATTCTAAGATATCTCTCCTGTGCTCTTCTATTTGCTTTTATTTAGGTTTTAAGATTTTAGTATTCCTGCTAGTCAACCAGTGTGCTCATACATTTAAAGTTTGGATTTTGAACTTCTACCACAGTGTATATGAATTAAGGAACAGGAAAAAAACTTATATGAATGTATATTAATTGCATGACTTAAATAACTCTATAATATATATAAAGAGTTAAAATATCAGAAATTGTACTTAATGATATAATTAAACTTGGTTGCATTGTGCAAAGAAAAGCTTTACAAATGATCGTGCTTGCTTTCTGTAAAAAATTATATGTCAGCCGCCTTTTCCTGGCTTTAGTCCAACTGGGGGTCTACATGATATGTGTCTAAGCAATCAAGACACAACTATTTCTTTTCCTGTTAAAAGACATGTGGTTGGAAAGTTAAGAAGATTAAAGAGGCACAGGAGAGAAGACCTTATTGTTATACAGATATCCAGTTTGGTCCGAAGGTGTTGTTTCCTTACCACTAAGTCATGTCTGGCACATACTTAGCTACTATTTTGTACCGATCAAGCTTACTGGTGTTGAGGGATCGAGTCCGCTTGTTTCCCTCTTTTAGGCGTTAGACGGGGACTTCGATGGCAGGGGCCTCTCGACTCACAGCTGTCACAAACATAGTTTGTACACAAGCTGTTTTATGTTACATCGGTACTGTCCCTCCTATTGCCAAATGAACATTTCTGAACAACACAGTGTATGAATCAGGTTTGTGTGTGTGTGTTCTGGTGTGTGTACACCTGTTCTGTCCATCATGTTGTGGACAGCTGCTGAGTCTGTTTGGCGTCAGCCTGCCAGTGAGCGACATCTATCACGGATGTTACCCAGCTGGTCCACACATGAACACATGCATAGAAACAAATGCAGTCACATCTATCACCAAATATGCCAAGTGCCTGTTGTAAATAATATTTACAGTATGTATACCACACACACACACACACACACACACACACACCACTTTTTTTCCATAAACCCTGCTCGCTACTTTGGCTCTAATGCCAATTTGTTACTGTTTCTGTTTAGAGTACAGAGAGCAACTAATTAGTTTGGATTTATATCTCTGGCTCAGTGAATTTGAAATGGTGCGACTTGACTGTCTAGACATTATGTGGTGGGACATCGTGCTGGAATCAAGTGATAAAAGTGTGGCTGACAGACACGAAGTCCAGCCTTAGCACAGTGGAGGCAGTTTCATTAAACAAGGTGTCAGAGCGTTTACAGCCCAATGAGGATTTACCTGATTTACCAGGGGTAAATTAAATATGTGTTTTTGCATCCAACACAGAAAACTCCACCTTGACAACTCACAACTTTTTGCGTATTACTCACACACCTCTGCCGCTCTCCTTATTTTTCCCCAGTGCCTGCTCACTTTTCCTCCATAACCTTAATATGTTTTTTTTCCTTTTTTCCCCTCCATTTTTCCAGCATCTTTTTTTTTTCTCTGTTTATACCTTTACTGTTTGTCATCTACTCTTAGACCCCAGTAATGCAAGCCTAGAGATGGGTCAGTGACCCTTCCTGGCAAATTTCTGTTGCTAATGGAAGGGTGTTTATTCCCTTGACTGGTTGGCAAGTGGTTGCTGGACTTTGCTGGCAGTCACAAGGTGAAACTGGTTGAAAAGAGTTACCTGGTGCAGAACCAAAAACCTCCTTGCAAGTTCTTTGGTGGTTGTTTGTAGTTTGCACAGTCAATGCCTTGTCTGCAAAAACTACTCCCCTACTGGTAGCGACACTTTGCAATTAGCAATACAAACTTGAGATGGAGCATCATGTGAGCGATTGTGGTGAGGCGTTTTCCTATTTTTTTTGTGCTAGTTTATGGAATACATTGCTAGAAATATAGATAAATTATCCCAACATTTTCCCTTTTCAGTATAACTGTAGCACACTAAACTCTAGTAAATAATAAGGATATTTGAATTTCTAAATCCCTAAAAATGAGTATCTATTATTGGTAAGGCTCTATGAAGTCAAGTAGGTTTGTTGTTGTTGTTTTTTTTCTAAGCTTAAATTTCTGCACATGTCTCTCCTGTCCAGATTTCTGTCTCTTGTGGGTGGGAGTGTGGACCAAATTGGGAGTACAACCCTGAAACACTGTGTGGAGAACAAAGTTAAGACAAGCAGTGTAGAGGAGCTGGCCCGCACCCTGGACACCACACCCGAGACCCTCAAACTCATTATAGACGGCCTGACGCAGCCCCCCGGGTTTGACATACGACAAAGTAAGACTCCGGCCACTCACTGATATACTGATATCAATTCAATCAGAAGAACAATACAAAGGACAATGTTGAAAATGCTGAAGGAAAAACATGTTAATGCATGTAAACATTTTTTAAAAATTTTGTTTTAATAGGAAAATGAGACGTTGACATTAAGATGTTTACATAAATGTTCCTTTGACTTTATTATTTAAAAGGTATTTAAATAGAAAAAAGCCAATGAAACATATGTATGGATACCCTTGATTATGCATGTTTTTTATTTCCTTATATCTCAAAACTATCAGTATTTTGAATCGTATAAAAATGTTGTAGACTGCACGTATCTGCAGCCTATCAGTCACAGTAACTTCCCTTAGCTTCTCATCTTTCCTTCATGATGTCCTTTATAGGTCCCCACTGACTGATAGAAAATCAAACTTGTATTCATCCAGCTCTTTGAGAGTCTTGCTAGTTATGACACACACTGACTTTTCTTGCCTTTACTATAATAGGCATGTCTTGGCAGTGTAACTTGATAGGATCTGACAGTGCTGTGGCTTCCTCCCCGTAGCCCCACAATACAAGCAGTGTGTTTCTGACAGGGTGTGATGGGTCCAACAGACTGTGTTGTTGGACAGCGTCTCTTTGCAGAGACACACATACAAAATGCACAAAGAACTCTGTTTTTCTCCTTAATCTGAAACGCTTCAGTTCAGGCACATACAAACATACCACTAAAACCCCATCCATAGTTACAAACAGTTGCTGTAGCTCAAATTTGTTTTCTCAAGGAAAAAAAATAGGACACATCTCTTGCTCTTCTGTATTTGATTAAGCAGCCTATTTATTGCTAATGAGGAAATATAAGTCAGCATCAACTCTCAAATCCTGATTAAAAATGGCACAGAGCAATTTAATATTTGCGCAACATATTTTTCTTTGATGGTCTACCCCAAAACAGGAGTAAGAGTAAAACAAGAGTAATTATTTTCAGACTGGCTAGTTAAATACTATTTTATGTGAGGAAAGAAGTCAAGTCTACCCACTTATTGCTGGCTAACTTGTCTTAAAATTGAGGAACGCAGCTTCAAAGTTCATTCTCAGGTTAGCCTTATTCGGTTGCAGTACACTATGCTTGGCCTCATAGCCAGTGCTCAGCTGAATAAACAGATGGGCTAAGACTACTGCATGAAATCAGTGCTGTTGGGAGGATAATTGGACGGGACTATTTCCTGGAGCACAGTCCTTCCTTGTTTGTGTTAGTGTTACAGACAGGAAACAGGTTTTATGAGCAGGCAAATCGAAAGTGGGGTTTAATACACTGCTGATAAACGTATGTAGATACAAGTATTGAGTGACTGCTCGAAATGTTATCTGTTTGTCATGTCTGCCTCATCAACAAAATTTTCTGCATTCCCTTATCCCACTTTTTACTCCCAAACACTTTGACTGTCTGCCGCTTGTGTATTATTTTGTCATTGATATCGCTCCACACCTTGCGTCTAGCTATCTTTTTGTCATTCCCAGATTTTGGACAAGCGGACTTTAAGCGGGGCGTTGTGTCCATGAGTGATCTGCGGGTGGGTGCGGTGCTGACGGGCCGTGTGGACAACACCGCTCTGTTCGGGGCTTTTGTAGATATTGGCGTTGGCCGTGCAGGCCTCATCCACAAGAGCAACATCACCCTGGACAAGCTGCCTGTCAGCCAGCGTCGTCGCAGCCTGGCTCTAGGACCCGGGGAGCGAGTGGAGGTCCGGGTCCTGAATGTTGACCTTCAGAGGGGACGGATTGGGCTGGACCTGATCAGGGTCTTGCAATAGAGTCACTTAATACCTATGATTGTCACTAGAAGTGTGACAGAAAATTACAGGTTTTAAGCTGCTAAGGCCTCAGATACACAGACCTTGGTCAGTGACCCCCCTGGCAGTCTCTGATTCTTAGCGTAAAATGTCTGTTTTGTGACCCACTGATAAGTAATTCCTGAAGGCTGGTGGCAGTGGGAGCTGCAACGGAAACTGCTTGTTATTTCTTTGGTTACTGGGAAATTATTGTGTACAACAATAAATTACATGGAAGATGTCAACTTGTCAACTTGTCTGCAAATGTGTGCTATTTAATATTTGAGTTGTTGTAAAACTTGAAAAAGTGCAAAACAACTGGAAACGGGAAATGTTCCCCTTCCAGGTAAAAGTTGTGCCTTTCCACTGCAACCAACACTTGAATTGAATTCCTCAGGCAACAACTTATCAACCAGTCAGGGAATACACATTTTACCCCCCATGACCAGTGCTCACCAGATGGTTGCCGACCACTCTCGAATCCTGTGTGACTAGTGCCTAACTTGGCTAGTTTTAAAATGATCCATTTCAGTGAACAGCTGTTACAAGTTTAGAAATAAAAGCAAAATGTTCAAGTCATGTTTAACAGTTAGGACACTTCATTTGGGACTTGTTCTCAGTCTGTTTGTCATTTAGAGGGGTGCTTTGCTCGGGACAGAGCACTACACCTGTTTGCCGAACTAAAGGCAGAAATATGTTTTCTGATCATGAAACGAAGACTCTGATTGGATAGCTTAGTGAGATGATATCACAATTATTTGCACTTTAGTTGCAAATATTTAGTGCTGAATACGACATACTTGAGCGACTATTGCTAATGTTTGTAATACTTGGTATTCTCATTATTCTCTTGGATTATTACTTGAATAAAATTGTCTTCTGATTTGAGCAGTTGTTATTGACTTTTGGATACTTTAAAGAAAACCACTTGAACAAACAGACTGAAATTCTGCTTAGTGTTGTTTCATCTGCAGTTGATGGTTTGAAGTTAAAATATTATACATATCTATCTATCTATCTATCTATATCTATCTATCTATCTCATATAAATATTGTGTTCCTGATGAAAAAGAACAATTTCAGCAAATTGTGTTATATGATATGCTTCACTTTTTTGAGGAGATGAGGAGACGCACGAGTAAAGGTGGGGGATGAGTGGGAAGCACGCTGGCATGAGGCATGGAGAAACTGAAGGTGTAAGAAATCAAGGACCTTATGTATCAAGAGATGAAAAAAACAAGTAAAAGAAGCAAGTTTTTCTTCCATGTGCACCGGAAAACGTGAAAAGACAGAATGAAGGAGGGTTTGTTGAAGCAGAGGCAGCGATAGCAGGAGGAGGTGGGAGTGTTTCTGTATTCCAGACTGCGGTAAAGCCTGAAGGCTTTTTAGGCTTGGTCCCAGACACAATTATCCAAACACACACTAATCAGCTGCGTCAAAATTAATCCCAGACTCCCTATCCACATTATCTAATTTGTTTGTTTTTATGAAACTAGAATAAATAAAAAAAATTTAAAAATACATGAAATATGGTTCTGAGAAAGCCTGAGGTCCCCTGTGCTAAACCTTACACTGGATGCAGAATACCGAATCACTCTTAGCACTGCTGCTTCACTATTTCCCCTTGGGGGAACAAATGGAATATATTCTATACGCACAAATACAAAGAGATGTTAGATCAAGATTAATCAGTAGTGGCAGTTTGCTTGGTGATGATATAGATGATATACGAAAACTGCACACAAATACGGACTAGGCTCTTTTACTGTACTTCGCTCTACTTTTAAGGAATTTTTTGTTCCAGTCAAGGTGCCTCTTTACATTTGATGTTAACTCCTCTTGTCAGTTATTTGCTTTTGTTTGTTTTGAACTCATATCTTGTAGCTTGTTTTAATGTTGCAGTGTTTTTGTCTTGGGGAACGCAACTATTTGTGAAAGTAAACACAGCTTCCCTCAGCACCATTCCTGCCTTTCCTGCCGTTAATTTTCCTCCCTGTACTAAACGTGAGCACACAGATGGGACAGTCAATCTGGCAGCCAGCTACTCCCGCACCTTGGAGTTTTTGCCAAACACTGACCAGTAATGAATCTGCGATAAGAAGCAGAGTATCTGCAGGAGCGGTTGTGTAGTTCTCTGTTATCCACTGCTGCACTGGTTCTCGACTGTTGCGTTGTGGAGTGAGCTCAGGTGTACCTTGAGGTTTTGGTGAAATGTGAAGAAAATTGATTGTAAGAAAGCTGCTGAACAAGTGTCACACTTTCACTCATAAAGCATGATGGCTATTTGTGGTTTCATAAGTCAAATTAACAAAGAGAAACAGCCCATTTTGCTGTGTTGGGCCCTCTTTCAGCATATTTTGTTGCACAGGTGGATATGAAATGAACTTTGTTTTTATTTAACGAAAGCGTAGAGAGAATAGTTCTCACAGCTAGTAAATGCATCCTGCTAAGCGAACACTGAGTAGAAAATATGTCTTTCTCTGCTGATCTCAGATTTCTCAGACCACCTGATAGACATCTAATCACTGTTTGCAACCAATAACCAATAATAGTTGTAAAAAGTGCCATAGGTTTGGTGTTACTTGCAATTGTATCAAGCTCTGCTTAACACCTCTCCATTTTTGTGGGACTATGCAAATACTGGAGTAGATAAAACAGAACTTTCTGGTGCATTTGGTGCTGGTAGACTTTATTAAACACGTCTGTATCCTCTGAAGGTCAAATCATTAAACCCTCTTAAATGACATTACCTGGCAATTGAGCATGTGGAGGATTATATATACTTTTTATTGTTAACTCCTGATTGTAGTTTTAAGAAAGACCAAATGAGTTTGTAAGAGTGCAAGAGTTTTGTAACTGATAGACGTTTTTACTAGAGGTGGGAATCACCATACATCCCACGATACGATATTATCACAATACTTAAC